GCCTCTCTGCTGCACCGCGGCCAGTCAGGGAGCCTCTCTGCTGCACCGCGGCCAGTCAGGGAGCCTCTCTGCTGCACCGCGGCCAGTCAGGGAGCCTCTCTGCTGCACCGCGGCCAGTCAGGGATCCTCTCTGCTGCACCGCGGCCAGTCAGGGATCCTCTCTGCATGCAGTTCCTCAGAACAATAGACAACCACTTACAATCTTATCGCTGGCACTGGCTGCTATGGTGTTGGCTCCTCTCTCCAGGTAGGCTTGTAGGAGCCGGACGAGCGGCGGGATGTTGCCCGTCCTCTCCCATAGGATAGGCTGCAGGAGGTGCGGGAAGAGCGCCATGTAGGAGTCGGGAATGTCATCCTTGTGCATCTCCAGCAGCAGCGACATGACTTGGAAGACGTACGGGATAAACTCTGCGGAGAAGATATCAGATCATCAGGCAATGCATTGTGGGATGGAGGGTCTTCCATAGCTGAGGAATAGGCCCCCCCCGGCAATGCATTGTGGGATGGAGGGTCTTCCATGGCTGAGGAACAGGCCCCCCCTGGATGGAGGGCCTTCCATAGCTGAGTTATAGGCCCCCCCCTCCCCCAGGCAATGCATTGTGGGATGGAGGGCCTTCCATAGCTGAGTTATAGGCCCCCCCCTCCCCCAGGCAATGCATTGTGGGATGGAGGGCCTTCCATAGCTGAGTTATAGGCCCCCCCCTCCCCCAGGCAATGCATTGTGGGATGGAGGGCCTTCCATAGCTGAGTTATAGGCCCCCCCCTCCCCCAGGCAATGCATTGTGGGATGGAGGGCCTTCCATAGCTGAGTTATAGGCCCCCCCCTCCCCCAGGCAATGCATTGTGGGATGGAGGGCCTTCCATAGCTGAGTTATAGGCCCCCCCCTCCCCCAGGCAATGCATTGTGGGATGGAGGGCCTTCCATAGCTGAGTTATAGGCCCCCCCCTCCCCCAGGCAATGCATTGTGGGATGGAGGGCCTTCCATAGCTGAGTTATAGGCCCCCCCCTCCCCCAGGCAATGCATTGTGGGATGGAGGGCCTTCCATAGCTGAGTTATAGGCCCCCCCCTCCCCCAGGCAATGCATTGTGGGATGGAGGGCCTTCCATAGCTGAGTTATAGGCCCCCCCCTCCCCCAGGCAATGCATTGTGGGATGGAGGGCCTTCCATAGCTGAGTTATAGGCCCCCCCCTCCCCCAGGCAATGCATTGTGGGATGGAGGGCCTTCCATAGCTGAGTTATAGGCCCCCCCCTCCCCCAGGCAATGCATTGTGGGATGGAGGGCCTTCCATAGCTGAGTTATAGGCCCCCCCCTCCCCCAGGCAATGCATTGTGGGATGGAGGGCCTTCCATAGCTGAGTTATAGGCCCCCCCCTCCCCCAGGCAATGCATTGTGGGATGGAGGGCCTTCCATAGCTGAGTTATAGGCCCCCCCCTCCCCCAGGCAATGCATTGTGGGATGGAGGGCCTTCCATAGCTGAGTTATAGGCCCCCCCCTCCCCCAGGCAATGCATTGTGGGATGGAGGGCCTTCCATAGCTGAGTTATAGGCCCCCCCCTCCCCCAGGCAATGCATTGTGGGATGGAGGGCCTTCCATAGCTGAGTTATAGGCCCCCCCCTCCCCCAGGCAATGCATTGTGGGATGGAGGGCCTTCCATAGCTGAGTTATAGGCCCCCCCCTCCCCCAGGCAATGCATTGTGGGATGGAGGGCCTTCCATAGCTGAGTTATAGGCCCCCCCCTCCCCCAGGCAATGCATTGTGGGATGGAGGGCCTTCCATAGCTGAGTTATAGGCCCCCCCCTCCCCCAGGCAATGCATTGTGGGATGGAGGGCCTTCCATAGCTGAGTTATAGGCCCCCCCCTCCCCCAGGCAATGCATTGTGGGATGGAGGGCCTTCCATAGCTGAGTTATAGGCCCCCCCCTCCCCCAGGCAATGCATTGTGGGATGGAGGGCCTCACCCACCCCACACCCTCCAATGCTTCCCGGGGCTGCGGTGACATCTGAAATACTTTTACAGGAAGCATGGCAGACTGGCCGCTCATGTTATGGGGGGCACTATACAACTCGGGGTACACACTCCGGTGCCCGCTGTGCCGCGCGGTCCCCACAGGAAGCGTAAACCGAGGCTGAGAACGGAGGCCGTGAGGTCCCAATATGGTCATGTGACCTCCTCTGGAGGGGTGACAACGCGCGCCTCCGTGTACCTTGTACGTCGCTCTGCAGGATCTCGGTGAAGACCAGGAACAGGGCCTCCTCGAAGCTGCTGACAGTGCCGGGGTTGCAGCGGCAGGTGATGCGCACGGACAGGCAGATGGACTCGAACAGGTAATGGTTGAAGTGAGGCTTGCTGGGGTTCTGTGGAGGAGGACAGAGGGGGCGGGGTCAGACATCAGCGTGACACCGTACAATCACTCTCATCATTGTACACAGGAAATGATCACAATTTGGGGTCACGCGGCGAGGATCGGGGGAGGGGGGGGACTCACCTTACTGACCGCCAGCAGCTTCTGCGTCAGCTGAGTGATGACGGAGGGGATGTACGGGATGATGGCCTCCTGCAGCAGCGAGAAGCTTCTCATGATTGCTGGGACAGAAGAACGCAATACATCATCTCTGTCCTATGACAGCATATATAAAGCCCCTCCCCTTCCCCAGACATACCCCGCCCCCTCCTACCTTTCATGATGTACTCGTTCTCCGAGGAGCCGGGCAATGACAGAGCTTTGAAGAGGTGGGACAGAAGCCCCTCCGCGTACGGCAACATGTCCGCCACCGTGATGCTGCAGGAAGAGAGGACACGGGAAATGTGATGATGTCATAATGTCGCAGAGGTCGCGCAAAGGGGCGGAGTCACACTTACAGGGTGGCGTTGGTGGTTCCGCCTCTCATAGTGAAGAGTCTCTCCAGGGCGTGCGCTGCATACGTGTGAACCACGACGCTCTCCGCCTGCAGGTGGGCGATCAGGAGGGGGATGGCGGCCAGCACCTGATCTTTAGGTACCTGCAACAAAGGCATCAGAAAACAATATGGCCGACCCGGCCCCCCATCCCCCGCACCAATATCGCATCACAAGGCTTTATAACCAAAGGGCCCGCCCACAGACCAATCAGGGCTCAGTATACACGTATATGGGGAGGGGGCATGTGTGGGGTCACCAGAAACCCCAAAACTCGGGACACCCCGTGACGTCAGCTCCCCCCGGGGCCCGTGACGTCAGCTCCTGTGTTGCGGGGGCGCTCCGTGTTGCGGGGGCGCTCCGTGTTGCGGGGGCGCTCCGTGTTGCGGGGGCGCTCCGTGTTGCGGGGGCGCTCCGTGTTGCGGGGGCGCTCCGTGTTGCGGGGGCGCTCCGTGTTGCGGGGGCGCTCCGTGTTGCGGGGGCGCTCCGTGTTGCGGGGGCGCTCCGTGTTGCGGGGGCGCTCCGTGTTGCGGGGGCGCTCCGTGTTGCGGGGGCGCTCCGTGTTGCGGGGGCGCTCCGTGTTGCGGGGGCGCTCCGTGTTGCGGGGGCGCTCCGTGTTGCGGGGGCGCTCCGTGTTGCGGGGGCGCTCCGTGTTGCGGGGGCGCTCCGTGTTGCGGGGGCGCTCCGTGTTGCGGGGGCGCTCCGTGTTGCGGGGGCGCTCCGTGTTGCGGGGGCGCTCCGTGTTGCGGGGGCGCTCCGTGTTGCGGGGGCGCTCCGTGTTGCGGGGGCGCTCCGTGTTGCGGGGGCGCTCCGTGTTGCGGGGGCGCTCCGTGTTGCGGGGGCGCTCCGTGTTGCGGGGGCGCTCCGTGTTGCGGGGGCGCTCCGTGTTGCGGGGGCGCTCCGTGTTGCGGGGGCGCTCCGTGTTGCGGGGGCGCTCCGTGTTGCGGGGGCGCTCCGTGTTGCGGGGGCGCTCCGTGTTGCGGGGGCGCTCCGTGTTGCGGGGGCGCTCCGTGTTGCGGGGGCGCTCCGTGTTGCGGGGGCGCTCCGTGTTGCGGGGGCGCTCCGTGTTGCGGGGGCGCTCCGTGTTGCGGGGGCGCTCCGTGTTGCGGGGGCGCTCCGTGTTGCGGGGGCGCTCCGTGTTGCGGGGGCGCTCCGTGTTGCGGGGGCGCTCCGTGTTGCGGGGGCGCTCCGTGTTGCGGGGGCGCTCCGTGTTGCGGGGGCGCTCCGTGTTGCGGGGGCGCTCCGTGTTGCGGGGGCGCTCCGTGTTGCGGGGGCGCTCCGTGTTGCGGGGGCGCTCCGTGTTGCGGGGGCGCTCCGTGTTGCGGGGGCGCTCCGTGTTGCGGGGGCGCTCCGTGTTGCGGGGGCGCTCCGTGTTGCGGGGGCGCTCCGTGTTGCGGGGGCGCTCCGTGTTGCGGGGGCGCTCCGTGTTGCGGGGGCGCTCCGTGTTGCGGGGGCGCTCCGTGTTGCGGGGGCGCTCCGTGTTGCGGGGGCGCTCCGTGTTGCGGGGGCGCTCCGTGTTGCGGGGGCGCTCCGTGTTGCGGGGGCGCTCCGTGTTGCGGGGGCGCTCCGTGTTACGGGGATGGGGCGCTCCGTGTTACGGGGATGGGGCGCTCCGTGTTACGGGGATGGGGCGCTCCGTGTTACGGGGATGGGGCGCTCCGTGTTACGGGGATGGGGCGCTCCGTGTTGCGGGGCGACCCCGATAGAGGGACATGTGACGGCCGCTCACCTGGTTCCGGAATATCATGATGTATTTGATGCCGTCCGCCTTCAGGACGGGGAATTCATTGACTGCAGAGGAAAGACGAGATTACAACGTGCAGCTCGCAGCCGCCTCAGGAGAGCTCATCATGGAGCCGCTCATACTCACTATTGGAGGACTTCAGATCGGGAAGAATGTGACTCACAAAGAACTCCGTCAGGTTGACAAGCTCATTGGCTTGTGTGATCCCGTGCTGAGGAGACAAAGAGGAGTCATGGCGACCCAACGCCAAAATCACCGC